AACCGATCCTCCGCCACCGGTGCAGGAGGTCAGGGCGGAAACCGCCGTGATGCCCCCACTCTCAAGTCCTCCGTCGACATCCAGCCTGAGTGGACTATGCTCGATCAGATCCCTTTCTCCACCTTTTCCAAGCTCTCTTTTTCGGTCCCCGACCCCCCGGAGGATCTCCTCGTCTGCGGCGGCCTCGAATTCTATGACAAATCTGTCGATCGTATCAACCCTAAGAACGAGCGCCGCCTCGAACGCTTCAAGTCTCGCAACTTCTTCAAGGTTACAACTACTGACGATCCAGTTATCCGTCGCCTTGCCAACGAGGATAAAGCCGCCGTGTTTGCTACCGATGCTATTCTCTCGGCGCTTATGTGCGCTCCCCGTTCTGTGTATTCTTGGGATATTATTATCCAGCGCGTGGGCAACAAGCTTTTCTTTGACAAGCGCGATGGATCTCAGCTTGATCTACTGTCTGTGAATGAGACTTCATCGGAGACGCTTCCTGAGGCAAAGGAGGATATCAATTCTGCTCATTCCCTTGCGGTTGAAGCTACTTACATAAACCAGAATTTCTCCCAACAGGTGCTTTTCCGTGATGGCAACAAGCTCACATTTGATGAGCCCAACCCCTTTGCATCAGAGGGTGAGGAGGTGGCCTCTGTTGCTTATAGATACCGGCGCTGGAAGCTAGATGAGGACACCCATCTCATTGCTCGCTGTGAGGTCCATAGTGTCACGGACGTGAGAGGCCAGCGTGCATTCCTCACTCTGAATGCATTAAATGAGTTTGATCCTAAGTATTCTGGTGTGGATTGGAGGCAGAAGCTGGAGACCCAGAGGGGAGCTGTGCTTGCCACTGAGCTCAAGAACAATGCAAACAAGCTTGCAAAATGGACTGCCCAGGCTCTTCTTGCAGGTGCTGATATGATGAAGCTGGGCTATGTATCAAGAGTTCACCCTAGGGATCATTTTAATCATGTCATCCTTAGTGTGATTGGCTATAAGCCAAGGGATTTTGCAGCTCAGATCAATCTGAATACTTCTAATATGTGGGGGATTGTCAAGTCCATTGTGGACGTTTGCATGAAGCTGAATGAAGGGAAGTATGTTCTCGTGAAGGATCCAGTGAAGCCACAGGTTAGGATCTATGAAGTACCGGCAGATGCATTTGAGAATGATTACATGGAAGAGCCTCTTCCCGAGGAAGAGCAGGTGAGGCCGCCTGTGGAGGATGAAGTTCCTGATGGCATAGCTGAAGCTGGTGCTGAAGGAGAGGTCACCGTTGTTGGAGATTCTGCTGGTGAAGGGGAAGCTGACAATGATATCTCTGCTTCTGTTGCTTGAAGGTTATCATAAATATTAATATTTGGGTGCACTGGTGTTTTTTTGATAGGGAACCTAGAAAGACATTATTTTCTGTAGTGATAATCTATTATAGTATTTCATTTTTATCTTTGATAGATATGCTTCTATTTGTCCCTCTTCTTTCGTGTTTGAGTGAATTTTTTGCTTTTCAGGAAGTCTGTTTAATTAATGAAGTAACTCTTTACTTGCTCAGAGTTAAATTTGCATGAGCTTTTATTCTTTGTTATTCTTTTAAGGTTACCTAGATGATCACAGTTCTTTTCATATATATGGCATTTTGTTTTGGTAATATTTATGTCATGATTTCAAAATTGTTATTGTTTTTCTGTTTCATGGATATTTTGGTTGATTTACATTAACAAGTTTTGTCAAATTTTTTATTTGGTTATTGATGGGCATGACATACATTTGCTGATAGTGTTGTGTGTTTTTACAACAAAATTTCTTCTTAATTTTTTATTTTTTCTCAATCTTAATCTCGGCTTTCATTTATAACATTGTTGTAGGATGGCTTTGATAGCTTGACATGTCATTTGTCACCATATGAGAAACCCTAATATGGAATCAGTAACAAAATCTATTTTAACCTTCAAAACAAAGCAAAATTGATCGCTTAGTGATTATGTGAAAATTGAGTAATATGAGATTTTTTTGAACTATTGAACAAGTATTTAGTTGGATTGGCCTTAATAAAATAGGGGAGTTGTTTCTCAACGAGGAGGCACTCCTGAGTTTTGTGTGTGAGAGGCTGACCATATTCTCTGAGATATATTCAATCTGCATTCAATCATGTTCCCTTTTATTCTAGATCTGGATTTATTGCGGTTTAGGTTTCAAGACTTCCTATAGGTAGAATTTTTCATAATTATCCTTCCCAATCAGGAGAGCACTTGATTAATGAGGTTGCATGACTAGAAAATTTCAAAAGAAGGTTTTGTTTTGCAAATCTTAGGAACAAGTTTATGAAGGAGTGTTATACCCTATTAAGGTCCTTTAGTTTCATCTTCCGTCCCATGGTTATTATGGATACTTGGCTACGACAACATAACTTAACTATTTGTTTGGGATATATGCAGTTGTTAGCAAAATTGCTATATGAAAAATTATTATTTGAAGTCATTACACAATTTCTTTAAGAAAGAGAAGATAGAATGATAAATTTTTGATTGAGATATCACGTAATGCAATTCCGTCTCTAGAATACTAGATATTGAGATTGGTAGTAGAAAGTCAGTTTAGATAACAAATTTATTTTGAAACACAATTGAGAAGCTATTAGCCAAACTCCAGTTTAGTTGTGATTTTTTTTTTTCAGTGTAGTTGTGATTTGAATAACACAATTGTTCAAATAAACCATAAGCAAGGGAGATATATGTTGGAACCATATGTATTAGCCAATTAGGTTAAGGAGTTTGTTTTGACATATAACATTGAGCCACTAAGTTGTTGTGACTTGTAGGTTATAAGTTAGGGAGCTGTAACTATGATGTGAAGACATTTATCTCATACAAGGAGCTTTAAAAAAGTCGAGGGGTGGAAGATCCCTTTGAGTGTGGAAGGTATGCCTTTTGAGGTCTAGATTAATATTCATATCTAATATCAAAATTGATAGAAGTGTGGATACTACAAATCCAAATCTTTCAGCTTCAGTTAAAAGAAAAAACGTCAATGCTTGAGTTTTCATATATTAAGAAAAAGATACACGAGCTTTGGGATGCTTGCAAATAAAGGGTAGCTATCTGATAGACCTTAGGAATCATGCAAGGCTGACAATTGAGGAGAGATAAAGGGGTTTTCATGGAGATAGAGTTAGAATCATCAAAGAAGAGAGAGAGAGAGAGAGAGAATTGGAGGAAAGAGAAATTATGAAAGAGAGAGAAAGAAGTAGAGAATATGTGGATTAGTCTGTTAAACTCTATTCATCCATTAATGACTCCATACAACTTAAAGTCACTGACATTTATAGTTCTTAGTCCAAGCTAATAAAGAATAATCATGAGCTATTATGATAAAGAATAATCATGAACAATTCTAATCCTATTAAGATAAAATAACCTTGAGACTCCTAGGCTTTTATAAAGGTGGAGAGCAACTCGAGATGATGGCTATAGAAATGTGATTTGTGTAGCAGCTGGGCTGTTGATATTTGAGAAATAAAACCACCATGGCTAGCGGCATTTGCAGGCAGGCAGTTGAGAGCACCATCTTTACTGGTTAAGGAGAAGGATAAGGCACTACAACCTTTTCTTTCCTTTTTTTTTTTTAATTGATTAGCATAAAGAGCTTTTGTAAATGCCTATATATATGCTATAAATTTGGGAAGAATAAATTGAGAACTAATTATATTATAGATGATTGGAGTGATAGATATTGAGATAAAGATAGTGAAAAATAGATTAAGGCTTCGTTTGGGACGGCTTTTTTAGTATTTTTTAAAGTAACTTTCTAATTTCTATACTCGAAAGCTGTTTTTAGAAGCAGGAAAAAAACTGTCCCAAATAAAATCTAAGTTGGACTTATATTTGCTTTAGAAAATATTAAGAAAGTCGTGTCAAATGAAATCAGAAGTTCTGCATTTGAAGGAGCTTATGCTTCCAACTAAGAGGTCTTGGGTTCGAGTCTTTGTGTATGCGTTGTGTGTGTGAGTTTGCCTTAAATGGCCTAAATGTCCCAAAAAAAAAAAAATCTGCATTCGAAGGAGAATAGTTTAAAACAACAATGAAGGCTTTCAGCTCAATTTTTTTTTTTTAATTTTTTTTGTGTTTTTGTGTTTTTTTGTTTTTTGTTTTTGAAGGCTTTTAGCTCAATGGTTCTGCATTTGGAGAATCCATTGACACTGGATAATATCAAACTAAAATGTTATGTTTTACTACTTATCTCGTCTAATAAAGTCTTAACAATGTATACAGTGAACTTCACCTATACATATGAGGAGACCGACCAGTTCTTAGTTTTTGCTGTAGCTTTTTTTTATGTTTAGGCTTGGTTTGCGACAATTTTTTTATTGCTTATGAAGCAGTAAGAAAATTATCAAAAATGAGATTAATTATTCTGTGCAGACATCGAACGTTGTCTGGATACCAACCATAATGCACCACGTCACCCTTGTGCTCGGTACCGTGGCTCAGTACCGCTGACGTGGCGCATTCTGGTTGGCCTTCGAACAGCATTCTGCGTCCGGTCTTCGCACATAATAGTTTTTCCACAAACGAAGCCTTAATTTTGGATATGTAAATATATAAAAAGATTTTGTGCTTTGTATGTTGAAATGATAAAGGAAATGAATTAAATTAAATTTTCACAAATAAAAGAAGTTGAGTTTAAAATATGTTTGATTTCTTATTTAGTTTATGAAAATTAGAATTTTGTATTTCATTATAGTAAATATTGATTATAATGATGATTGGATAAATTATTCTTCTCATTTTTACTAAAGCTTAAAAATTATTGATGAAAAAAGTATATATTTTTTTATGTTTTAAAGTAAATATTTAATATAATTTTGTGTTATAAAATGATATTTACATTTTATCAAGATCTATTTTTACCTTATATTTCACCTTCAAGTGTAGGCTTTTAATGTAGATTCACAAGTTTAATTTTTTGAAGGGGCTATTCGTTTTGTTGAAAAAGGAATGCCAAGTAAAAAAGATATAATGTATTTAAAATATTTAGAGTTATTTATATGAGTATAAAATAAATATAGATAAATATTTTTTTATTTCATTTCAAATAAAATGAATGCAGTATAAAGGTCACCGCCGCTATTATTACCAAACAGTCTTACAACAACAACAGAAGGTGGTCGACGAACACAATGAAGCCAATATGTTGTGTATTTATTTTTTATTTTAGAGATAATATATATTCATGAAGATATATTTTTTATTTACAAAATCTATGTCAAAATAATAAATCACTAAGACTATTATTTTTAGATATTTCATCCACAAGTCATATATATTTTTAAGCGTAATTTTTTTAGATAAAATCTAATCATTCTTAACAAATAACAAAAACTCTTCCAAACTAAGCAAGATCATGAAGCTTAATTTTACCCATCAGAGAACCAAAAAGCAAATTGAAAGAGGATTTTTTGCAATTCTCATCAAGATATCTTACAATTATGAAAACCAAACATGCCAAAGGAAGATTTGATTTTCTTCATAGATCTTCAAGTATAGTTTCCTATTCAGAAACAGAAGTAATCAATCAATGATTTCAAGTAGCTTTTGCCACCAAGAAGCAACTTTAAATTTATAAAGGCTTTGTTTGAGATGGCTTTCTTATTGCTTCTTAAAGCAGCTTCTTAGTATAAAGTTTTAATTTTTATACTAATAAGCTGCTTTAGAAAGCAGAAAGAAAGCCGTCCCAAACGAAGCCAAAACCACCAACATACAGCAGACTGTAATCAGGCTTGCTGCAACAACTAGGTAGCCTCTTCTAGCATATCCATAAAGCCTTTCTTTCCTGTTTTCTGCAGTACTGAATCTCTGTAAAAAATTCTACCCATAGAAACAGCCTGAAACTTAGTCCAGAGCTCCTTCTTGAGTGTGGTCTCCCCAGCTCGTCGGCTTCTAAGTATGGAGTCATCCGCCATACCTGGCGTCCATGGTATCTTCCCATCCATTAATGGATTCATTAGAGTACAAGTCTTTGGTGGTGACAAGAACCATTCTAATTTTTCATCAAAATCATTTTTGCCTGAGAAATTACAGAGCTGCAACTCATGGATCTGGTGGTCATCAGGCTTTTTGCTCTCTTGAAAACATTCAGGCAAGTTACAATTCCTGCCAGTCAAGCTCTCATCTTCCATTACTGAAGGGTTTGTGCGATGATTTGGATCCATTAGAGTGCAGGTTTTTGGTGGTGACAAGAACCATTCTAATGCCTCCTCATCTGCATCTCTTCTCCTGTTTGATTTATTTTTCTGATAAGCTTCAGATTGGTTTTTCAGTCTGGTTTTACCCATACTGTTCTCTTCAACAGTACCAGGCTTTGAGCCAACAAATTCCTCAACTGTCGCAGAAACAGTATCTGAATTCCTAATAATAGTTTGTGAAGTATCATCCTTCAAGCATAGATTTCTGGCCTTAATTTTGAATGAGCCAGAGCACTGGAAGAGTTTTTCCTTCCTTGACAATGGTGTCAATAAAAAAAGTTGTTTTTCAGTCACTAATTTACAGCCACCGGCACGCCAGGCGACTAACGGAGAAGGAGAGATGATCATGTCCAACTTAGTTTCTTCATCTTTTATTCTCGGCAAAATGTTTCTTCTCTCTGCATGTGTGGAATTATGACTCCTTTGTAGAGATTTACAAACCTGAACTTCAGTTTTACTTGTGGTCTGTGATTGACTGAGCCTCAAAATCCATGGCTGTAGCATTGGAGAAGAAAATTGGAAAAGAAAATTAACTTTACATTGTTTTTTACTGCATTACTTTTATGATGGAAGAAGCACAAGGACTTAGGCTTTGTTTGGGACAACTTTATTACTTCTTCTTAAAGCAACTTTCTAGTAAAAAAATTATTTTTTTACTAGAAAACTGCTTTAAGAAATAGTAAGAAAGTAGTCCCAAACGAAACCTTAAAGGTTGCAATGAATCTATCTATCAATCTTAAGCAGCACATACCTTAAGGGATGAATGCATTTCAGATAAAAGATTGCTCAAGGAATCAATTTCCTCATTTGTTGTTTTACTCTTCATGTCTTGCTCTGATGATTGAGCCAAAATTTCATCAATCTAAGGGAAAAGAAGAGAGGGTGGCATTAAATTTTGATGTTTGATACTTGATAGTAAAGCTGTAACTAATATGTCTAAAGACACCGAAGCCGAACGATAAGATATTGAAATAGCACAAAGGTGATCCATGATGAAGAAGAACACATAAGACAAGTAAAATGATAACAGAACACATAAGACAAGTAAAACCATCAGTAGAAAGTTAGGATTTGGGAGAAATAAACACAATGCCATTCATATCAAAATTTGCTAACCAATTCAAAAAAGGTTAAGAGATCTAAGAGACAGGAAGACTAACACATACAATCATTGAATCTAGAAAAACTCCTCAGGAGTCAGATAGTTTCAAAGTCTGGATATTGAAGAAAGTGATCACTAGCTTTGTAGTAATAATCATTTCCCAGATAGGATAACTTGTTTAAAGATTGGTTTGGTTACATCATTCTCCCTTTATTTATCTTAAGTTCATTGAGTGATTTTCATTTCAACAAAGTGATTTAAAAATATTTCAAACTAAATAGCTGTTACATGAAAGAGTGGATGAAAATCCTGAAAAGAAAAAGTTACTATCCAGTTAAGAGATAAGAACATAAAGGTTGCAAAAGAATTTGAAGCAAAATCCACAAACCCAGTCATCATCCAAAAAACCGTCGGAACAAAAAGCAAAAGAAGCAAAAAGAGTTACAATAAGTAAAACATCATTTACCTATAATTTGTAAGCAACTAAAACCCGTTGGTATCAGTATAACAACCCCAACAAAGAATATAGAACCATCAAAACGAATGACAAATCACCATTAGTCAAAACGAGCAGAAAAAACAATCCATAAATAAAAGGATATCAAAATTGCAAATAACAGAGAACATCAGAGATAGGTGTAGTCTCTGAAGATCCCTCAATCCTCAGTTTAATGCAAAATAGAGATTGGGAGGTCTTTAGCATCCTCTTTGAAGTGGCAAATTGTGATGGAAATAAGTAATGAAAATTGACCGAAGTAGGTGTACTTCTGGTAGGCAAGGAATTCAATCATCTCCTGAATGCATAGTTGAAATTATTCAAGAATGAGTCGACATTTGATGGCACCGAAGGCACTGTATATGGAAATCAGATTCTTGAAGGTGTCCAAGTGATTCGAGGGGTTGCTCGTTTCCTAGAAGATCTCTAGCTGTAGAGCTTTAAATTTGAGTGAGACCACTTCTTCGGCTATGTCTAATGCTAAGGAAGAGGCATGAAATTACTGGTGCAGCATCAATGACTGAGTGTCACCAGCCCCAACTGACTTGCTTCAATTTGGAGTAAGGACATTCGCAAATGATGATGACGGGTGCAAAGTAACTCAGACGATGTTGGTGAGGTCAAAGATCTGTTGTCGGATGTCATATAAATTGGTTTTCAGATGGCGATGAGTAACAAATGTGTTGCTACTCTAAGGCTCCCCAACAGTAGGAGAATTAGAAACGCAATGAAGAGAAAACTCTGCCATTTCTCCCTTTCTTCAATGTATGAGACAATGTTTGCAATGAGGATTTCCCACAGATTGTGGCAATGACGGGTGTTGACAGATAAAACTGGCAATGATGAGTCCACACATCAACGGTTGAAGAATGAGAAACAAGATATTGTCACGCTATAATGTTTACTCGATGACGAGGCAAGATGGTTCTGCATGGTCGAATCTCATTCAAGGAACTAGAATGAATGGGAACAAACAAGAATTACCAAAAGAGAGAGATTTAGACTAATCTGGTCAAGATGACCTACATCCGCTATGCAATGATCAATAGATTATGATTAGTCAAGAGAAAAGGTCATAGGTATATGCTTTTTAGATAGATATGAGAAAGATGCTTTTATATTTTTAGCTGCAAAAGAATTTTGGATTAGAAGAAACCCCATGTTGTTAATGTTTGTATCCATTTATAGTTGATCGAAGACGCCATGTTGTTAACGGTTGGAGTGACTAGAGTTAAGGTTCTGGTTGAGATCGATGAAGTTTAGAGTAGGAGAATTATGAAAGGGTGTGTGTGTGTGTTAGAGAGAGAGAGAGAGAGAGAGAGAGAGAGAGAATACATTGTTTGGAGAGCGAAGATCAATACATGATTCTACATAGAAAAGTAAAGGCTTTGGGTAGTACCATCTAAAGCACCAAAGAAGGGTTAGGGAGCTTTAGAGCCAAATTAAGCTTTGATCTCCTCCTAAAAAACAAACTTCTTGTCGAGATAGGAATATTGTGTCCTTCATTGTCGAATGTATTACAAAATTTGCAAGCAAAAGGTTTTGAGTCATAAATAACCTCATACAAAAACCTCACTATATTCATAGGAATGGAATTGGGAAAGGGAGAGCGGTGTTAAGGGTTTAACACCATACAAACTCTAGCAAATGTAATGCATAATTTGGTAGCAGTGAGGTTGTCAATAGTTAGAGGGGTGCCGATCTAACTAGCAACTTTAGAGATATCCTCATAATTCCAACAACAAAGAGGAAAGTCATGGGGGTGGGTTGAGAGAGCTCAAGAAGAGGTATTTCTTTGGTTAAATGAGATTTATATAAATTTTAATAGTGGGTAAGATCAAAATATGAAGGAAGAGGAGATTTGATATTGGAGAGGCATGGATCCTTCAAAAGTACCCTTGGGAAGTGAGCCAAGAGTGACAACAGAACTACCTGTACAAGGGCCAAAAGAAAATAAAAGGGTGGCAGCAGCAAATGGCAAGGCAGAAAAATCCTAGCAGAAACATAACACAACCCTAAACTTGATCTCTTCGCAAATTGTTTCTTTTCAGCTTTTGCTCCTCGACATATTTATTCTAAGAATATTGCAAAACTGAATCAAGTTGCGCATTTTTGGAACTTACTAGCGCTCCACTATTTTTTTGTTGAACTCGCTACAAAATGCATATTTTTCTTAAGCTTTATGGTAGAAACTATGAACTTCCTCATAACTTGAGAAACAAGAATAATCTCATATAAATAAACGGTACTGTAGTCAGATCTCTTTTTTTTATCAATACAAAAAAAAAAAAACCCAACAACAACAGAATAAATCAAAATATCAGCCCATACTCAAAGTTTCCATCCTCAAATACTGCTAAATCAGATTTCCCATCTTCCCTCATAAAAAATACTAGGCTTACACTTTAGAAACAGAAGAACCCTAAAACTTCTTCCAAAGTAAGATTTTTCCATCAAGCATAAAAAAGGCTAACCCCGACGTCCTTCTTAACCCCAAACAAGAAATAGTATATGGCTTCAATTCACAATACCTGGTTAACGAGAGCGGAGAGTGTCGATCGAACCAGAATGAGGCGATCAAAATAGCCGCCGTCGTCGTCTCGATCCAACTGAATCTTCTTCTTGCCATCTCTCGATGGCCTTCCGCCATTCGAGATATCGCCAAGAGGCTTCCTGTTCACCGATTTCCAAGAACCTTTCTTTAGCATTCTTGATTCTCTCCCTCTTCAGCTTCGGCGATTCGCAAATGAACAGCACAAAAACGACGGAGAGAGATGAAAAAGGGTAAAAACCACATTTTTATTTTTATTTATTATTATTATTTTCAAATTTTCCCAACGGTCCGAAGCAAGAATTAATTTAATTGTGAAAATGAATATTCCTATTTTGGTCCAACTATGAAACTTTGGATTTTGGTAGTTTTAATGATTTTATTTATTTTCGATATTTAATTTTGGCTGTAGTTTTATTTATTTTTTATTGTAATGTCTTATAAATTTTATATTTAAAATATAAAATAAAGAGAATTATGTAATAAGCTTTTAATGATTGAATTCTATAATATTCACTCCAAATTTTAAAAATTTATTTTCCCAAATAGTAACTTTGCAATTATTTTTATAAACATTTATAGCCACTTCAAAATGAGCTCTTAGCTTAAGAAATTTGAACACAATATTTTGAAGTGTATAAATTTTATATGAAAAATCATCAAGGAAGTATAATATTCACTCCAAATTTTAAAAATTTATTTTTCCAAATAGTAACTTTGCAATTATTTTTATAAACATTTATAGCCACCGCAAAATGATCTCTTAGCTTAAGAAATTTGAACACACAATTTTGAAGTGTATAAATTTTATATGAAAAATCATCAAGGAAGTGAGATATTGCCCAAATAAACTATATAGAGGTTATTTGAATTCGAGAATTTCAAATTCAAAACTATTTGAAATGTAATGCATTTAAATTCTAATGTAATGAATTTCTTAACAATATCTTTTTTTTGTGTTTGAATGAAATACATAAAATTAATTTAAAAAAAAAAAACTCAGAGCAAGAAAATTGGAATTTACAGGTCATGATGCAACTTGTTATGAATGGAATCACGATAGGACTAATTAAGATCAAGAATTTATGCAAATCAATGATAGTGATGGGCAGAGTCATGTGCACAGATCACATTACACAGTGTGTGTAACTGTGTGTACATACTGTGTACATATATTGTGTACAATTGTGTACACACATTTATATGCACCGTGTACAAATAAATGTTCACAGTACGTGTATGAGAGAGTTCGGACGTAACTCTGCGTCCAAACTTCTCACAGAATAATTTCTCTTGAGTGAGGTCCAAACTTCTCCTGAGTAAAAGCTTTAGCATTACAGAATCGTGACCTTCATCCGAGGTTCATGCGAATGTATTTGAAATTTATCCAAACGAATTTCAAATATATAAGAAATCAACCATGTGAAGTAATAAAAGCTCCTCAAAAAATACCTTACATTTGATTTTACCCTCAATCAAATGCTCAAAAACTTAAAATTCATCCATTTTAAACACAACAAACTCAAAATCCCTCCAACCAAACAATCTCGTAGTAACAAAGAAACATCACTAGGATGAATTTTCTTCCTCTTCATCACAAAAATTGAGTAAAAACCTTCAGATTTCCAGATTAGTCCAAATTGCACCAGAAAATTATGATTTCAATATATCAATTTTAAAAAATGAAACGTTATGTTCAACGGCTATTTTATCACAAACTTTCAATCTGATGATACAGAGAAGAAGCATAAATCAATTTATGAGGACTACAATCAGCTTAGTGTTTGATAGCCCATAAGACCCTGCAGGCCATCTTGTCTTGTTCCATCCTTCATCAACAGGGCTGGCATCCATGGAAACCACTTATTGATACTTTTCTTTATGGCAGTAGGACTTAACTGATTTTCATTAATTCTAAACTTTGCCCGTTCTATTGCCAACAAGAAGTCTTCTCTACATACGACTTCACCACCTGCAACAGAGCATTAGTTATTTAGATGATACTGATAGTGATATTCACTAATTGATTCTTAAACAAGAAAACTTAGCAATATAACAAGAAATGAGATAAGAAATAGCTAATTTAAGATGGGTCATTATGGGTCATAGTAGTTCATAGGTTAATAGTAGATATTAGGTGGTAAATTGATCTTATGAGTCTATGTATTCTATAAATAATTTCTCCATATGAGAGTGAAAGAATTCATGCATATTGCATGGTTCTTCTCTATTTTCCCTAATAATTTATGGAATTGTGGGCATCCTTGAACTGCTTTTCTCTTTCATCTCCAATCGAATTTTGAAGTTTTAGATAAGCTCAAAGTTGTCTAATTATAGTATTTAAGATTTTTATATATTGACTTTGTCATTAGGTTTGTAAATAAATGAAACTAACAATGACAGAATTAGTATATCAAGTGAGAGGGGCAAATGAATTTATCCCAAACATAAGAGATGCAAAGCATCCATAATATATATAGTGTAACAACTCAAACTCTTAACTATCGAGATATAGTCTGCTTTGGCCTAAAAGCTTCATGATTTTATCCTGTTGGTGTAACTTCCCAGTAGGTCACCTATCCCAGAGCAATCAGAATTGCTCTAGGATGAGCATGCTTAACTGCAGAGTATCTTAAATGAAATTTCAACCATTACACTAAATGCACCTCGATGTTTAAGAGTTTAGCTTTCTTTTACTTAAGGGATTTCACATATAGTTACAAAAACAGTTTATGAGCAAAACTTTCATAATATATGATATAATTATATGAGGACCATCAATATTTTTTATGCGCAAAACTTTCATAGTATGTAATATAATTATGAGGATCATCATTAGTCCATCTTTGATTCTACCACTCCCAACAGCGAGTACAATACTTGATTTAGCATTTAACAAATCCAGTAAGCAAACGCCAAGAAAGAATAAATACTGAATACACAAATTTATCAGCTATTATTATTAATGATTTGCAACAAACAAAGAAAATAGTACACAGTAGTATTACATGCAGCTAGCATAGAGCAAAGCTTATGATAAAAACAAATCTTGATATCTTATGATCATCAGATTTTCTAGTTTCTAATATGATATACACAATGGGCTTTTTTGCTTGGTTGGACTTTTAAGTGAGAGGAATTGTCATTCTTTGTAAAAGTTCAGTAAGTCACAGGGGGTGTTCGAGTCGAGCTCAACTGTCAAATACCGATCTCCAGCTCGACTCATTCCATCATAAACAAGTTCTAGCTGCTCGTCAAGCCTCCGGTGTGGTCCTCAAAAAATTTATTCGGGTCTTTTTGGTTTGCTGTTAGCGAGAGAGAGAGAGAGAGAGAGAGAGAGAGAGTATTGAACAGGTATTTTGGGTTTGCCTACGAGTGATTATGAGAGGTGAACCTCTCATTGTTAAACGTTGGATTATGTTACGTGTACTTAGCATTCACTCTTATCTTGCAATTTGATTGAGTTGTTTGGTTAATCACAAATGCATTTCTTTGGCCTAAGCAAGTTAAAGACTTTAGATTCGTAATTCTCGTTTATGTGCAAGCAAGAAATTTTTATTGGCAAAGTTTTCTTCAATTGTTCCTTTAATTTCGCAAGTAACTCATGTTAGTTTCACATCTTATTTGGTATCAGAGCATGGTAGGCATGCATGTCATGTACTAGAAAAACATCCTAGGGTCTAGTCAAGCGTTAAACCTAAAATTTTGCATGCATATCATCGCATAGATAAATTTATTCACTGTTTTCATTGCTGTCCCTGCATTTCCTGCACGCATTTAGTGGAGTTTAAGTCATTCTAGTTAGTGTCTTAGTGCTGCCATTAAACCCATAACTCTTCTAAGTGCTTAGGATAAATGTACCCTTAGTGTAAGCTGCTGTCCTCATTGTTCCAGCAACATTTAGACACCATTTAGTGAACTTAAAGTCGTGTCTAGGTGCTGCCCTCACCCTAGAAGTACCCCTATAACACTTACACGACTTAAGCCACTATTTAGTTTGCTGTCCTGAAATTTCCTGCTGTTGTTCGTACTTTTTAGTGAGCAAACCGTTGTGATTAGCTGTTGTCCTTGGCCTAGGAACCTTCCCTAGTATCCCCTAGCACCCAACCATGGATCCGGAACATATTCAAGCAACCTTAGACCTAATTGTGGGCCAACTTGGAACGGTTACGCAACAAATTAGGAACACCCAAACTGATTTAGCTGAGTTTAGACGCCAAACGGGTGAGAGACTTGACAAAATTGAGAGAATAGGAAACCTAGCCATCTACACCCCATCTAGACCCCACTCTCCTTATGGCGATGACAACCGTACTGAATACGGACCTCGTAGAGATCACTACCGACCCAATCACCGACCAAATCAAGAATCGGTAGGACATGACACTCCTTCGAGAGATAACGATACCGAACTGCTTAAGAATATTCGGATAGATGCCCCGTCCTTCGATGGTACTTTAGATCCCCAAGTTTTCCTTGATTGGCTCAAAGGGATGGATAGTTATTTCAAGTGGTACAATATTTCGGAGAAAAGAAATGTTCGATTTGCCGAAATGAAGTTGACTGATAGAGCTAACAACTTAGAACACATGCAGAAAACTCGAGGAGAATACCTTGTGACTGACTGGGGAACGATAAAGTTACACTACTAATATAATTTAAACGTTAATAATTAGTGAGATTAATTAAATAATTAATAGTAAAAATAAGTAATTTAACTTAGTTTAATTAAATTATTAATAGTCTAATGTCATTACATTAGCTTAATCTAACTTAGCTTTTTTTTTTTAATCTAAACAACAAAACGAAATTAATCTAAGCAACATAACGAAGTAATGGAGAAACGAGAAAATAGATACGCTGAAATACAATATTTAAATGATTAATGAGATAATTAATAATTAAAACTAATTTAAGAGATTAATTTCATATTTAAACCTCTAACAGCCTTAAAAACTAAGATTTGTTGCCAAACAGTTTCTCATAATTTAACAGAACTTTACATTTATCATACCAAACAATTTTAAAGATTTAAAAGCTTCAAAATTTACTAAATTCGAATTTACAAGATTTACTAAATCTCATTAATAAGCTAGTTGATATGCAGAATTAGTAGGCTAAAGTAATATAATTATATGTATTTCTTAAATTAAGGTGTTTAGTTAATGTTGTTCGGTACAGAAGGAAACCGTTCCAATCATACCTTTAAAACGGAATTGAGGGAGTGGGGAATGCCTAATAGATCTGAGAATTTGAACCGATCGTCTCTAAAAACCTTACAAAAAGAAAAAGCTCTAATTGGAGCCTTCTCATTGATTCCATGGGCTTCGACCTAGGCAATGTCCCGTACAATCCCGATGGCTGGGGTCCGCCGGACACCCCAGCATTGCCCTGCCTTCCCCGCCGGGACGGCGCTTCCACCTCCCACAATGTCCCATTCGCACCATTTTCTCGCTCCGATAAGCTTGGCCGCATCGCCGATTGGACTCGCAACACCAACTTCTTAAATCCCTCCGTCCGCTCCGGCAATAGCCGCGACGCCGTCTTCGATTTTGCCCTGGATGACTCCGCCGCTCTGGCCGCTGCCGCCGACAATGACTCCTCCTTCCGTCTGGTTGATGGTAAGCCCCCTCCTCGCCCCAAGTTTGGCCCACGCTGGCGCTTTCAACAGCGTCCTCAGCTCCCACAGCGGCGCGACGAGGAAGTCGAGGCTCGTAAGCGTGAGGCCGAGAAGGAGCGTGCTCGCCGTGACCGGTTGTACAATCTCAACCGATCCTCCGCCACCGGTGCAGGAGGTCAGGGCGGAAACCGCCGTGATGCCCCCACTCTCAAGTCCTCCGTCGACATCCAGCCTGAGTGGACTATGCTCGATCAGATCCCTTTCTCCACCTTTGCCAAGCTCACTTTTTCGGTCTCGGATCCCCCGGAGGATCTCCTCGTCTGCGGCGGCCTCGAATTCTATGACAAATCTGTCGATCGTATCAACCCTAAGAACGAGCGCCGCCTCGAACGCTTCAAGTCTCGCAACTTCTTCAAGGTTACAACTACTGACGATCCAGTTATCCGTCGCCTTGCCAACGAGGATAAAGCCGCCGTGTTTGCTACCGATGCTATTCTCTCGGCGCTTATGTGCGCTCCCCGTTCTGTGTATTCTTGGGATATTATTATCCAGCGCGTGGGCAACAAGCTTTTCTTTGACAAGCGCGATGGATCTCAGCTTGATCTACTATCTGTGAATGAGACTTCATCGGAGACGCTTCCTGAGGCAAAGGAGGATATCAATTCTGCTCATTCCCTTGCGGTTGAAGCTACTTACATAAACCAGAACTTCTCCCAACAGGTGCTTTTCCGTGATGGCAACAAACTCACATTTGATGAGCCCAACCCCTTTGCATCAGAGGGTGAGGAGGTGGCCTCTGTTGCTTATAGATACCGGCGCTGGAAGCTAGATGAGGACACCCATCTCATTGCTCGCTGTGAGGTCCATAGTGTCACGGACGTGAGAGGTCAGCGTGCATTCCTCACTCTGAATGCATTAAATGAGTTTGATCCCAAGTATTCTGGTGTGGATTGGAGGCAGAAACTGGAGACCCAGAGAGGAGCTGTGCTTGCCACTGAGCTCAAGAACAATGCAAACAAGCTTGCAAAATGGACTGCCCAGGCTCTTCTTGCAGGTGCTGATATGATGAAACTGGGCTATGTATCAAGAGTTCACCCTAGGGATCATTTTAATCATGTCATCCTTAGTGTGATTGGCTATAAGCCAAGGGATTTTGCAGCTCAGATCAATCTGAATACTTCTAATATGTGGGGGATTGTCAAGTCCATTGTGGACCGTTGCATGAAGCTGAATGAAGGGAAGTATGTTCTTGTGAAGGATCCAGTGAAGCCACAGCTTAGGATCTATGAAGTACCGGCAGATGCCTTTGAGAATGATTACATGGAAGAGCCTCTTCCTGAGGAAGAGCAGGTGAGGCCGCCTGTGGAGGATGAAGTTCCTGATGGCATAGCTGAAGCTGGTGCTGAAGGAGAGGTCACTGTTGTTGGAGATTCTGCTGGTGAAGGGGAAGCAGACAATGATATATCTGCTTCTGTTGCTTGAAGGTTATCATAAATATTAATACTTGGGTGCACTGGTGTTTTTTTGATAGGAAACCTAGAAAGACATTATCTTCTGTGGTGATAATCTATTATAGTATTTCATTTTTTTCTCTGATAGGTGTGCTTCTATTTGTCCCCCTTCTTTTGTGTTTGAGTGAATTTTTACTTGTCAGGGAGTCTGTTTAATTAATAAAGCAACTCTTTACTTTCTCAGAGTTAAATTTGCAAGAGCTTTTATTCTTTGTTATTCTGTGAAGGTTACCTAGCTGATCACAGTTCTTTTTATATATCTGGCATTTTGTTTTGGTAATATTTGTGTCATGATTTCAAAATTGTTATTTTTCTGTTTCATGGATATCTTGGTTGATTTACATTGCCATGTTTTGTCAAATTTTTTATTTGGTTATTGATGGGCATGATATACATATGCTAATAGTATTGTGTTTTACAACTAAATTTCTGCTTAACATTTTATTTTTTTCTCAATCTTAATCTAAGCTTTCATTTATAACATTGTTGTAGGATGACTTTGATGGCTTGGCTTGTCATTTGTCACCATATGAGAAACTCTAATATGGAATCAGTAGCAAAATCTATTTTGACTTTCAAAACAAAGCAAAAATAATCCCTTAGTGATTACATGAAAGTTGAGTAGTATGAGATTTTTTAGAACTATTGAACAAGTATTTAGTTGGATTGGCCTTAATAAAATTGGGGAGTTGTTTCTCAACGAGGAGGCACTCCTGAGTTTTGTGTGCAAGAGGCTAACCATATTCTCTTAGATATATTCAATTCACATTTAATCATGTTTCCTTTATTTCTAGATTTGGTTTTTGCATAGAAAGAAGGCTCCTTTATTTAATGGGTTAAATAGATTTGGTAGTTAGAGTGACGAGTATCTCATTTTAGTGGCCAGAAGAATAGGTTTAGAGGTCCTAACTCAAAACTAGAAGGGGTTGATACTCCAGGGAGGTATTTCTTTGATTAAATGAGATTTATAAAAATTTTAATAGCGGGTAAGAAGGATTGCAAAACTGAATCAAGTTGCATAATTTTGGAACTTCTTAGCTTTTATTTCAAACATACTCTTAGAAAGGTGTTCGGCACTTACATGCTGAGGAGTTCCACCATTTTTTTGTTAAACCCACTACAAAATGCAATTTTTCTTAAGCTTTATGGTAGACACCATGAACTTCCTCATAACTTGAGAAACATGAAGAATCTCAGATAAATAAACGGTACTGTAGTCAGATCTCTTTGTTTTGATCAATACAAAAAAAAAAACCAACAACAACAGAATAAATCAAAATTTCCATCCCCAAATACAACTAAACCAGACGTCCCATCTTCCCTCATAATAAATACCAGGCTTCCCACTTTAGAAACAGAAGAACCCTAAAACTTCTTCACAATATTCCAAAGTAAGATTTTTCCATCAATCATCAAAAAGGCTAACTCTGACGTCCTTCTTAATCCCAAACAAGGAATAATATATGGCTTCAACTCACAATACCTGGTTAACGAGAGCGGAGAGTGTCGATCGAACCAGAATGAGGCGATCAAAATAGCCGCCGTCGTCGTCTCGATCCAACTGAATCTTCGTCTTGCCATCCCTCGATGGCCTTCCGCCATTCGAGATGTCGCCAAGAGGCTTCCTGTCTGTAGAAGCTGTAGTATTCTCAGGCAACTGAATAAAGCGGGCGTGGATTTCTTCAGCTGGAGCAGTAGTATTCTTCAGCCATAGCATGTTTCTGTGGTTCTTCATTCTGTTTTAAATTTTTTTTGTTAATTTCTTTATCCTGATGTTACCGTAAAAGCTGTAATATGTAGGAATGCAATTATAATGAAATCTAAGTATTCTTCAGGTTACTTCAAATGATTTCAGTATAATGCTCCTACGTAGTAGTATTCTTCAGTTTACTTCAGAGTAGTATTCTTCAGCCAGATCTGCTCCTACAGATTTATTCAGTTTAATGCAATTTTTTGGATAGTAGCAGGTTACTTCAAATGAGTTCAATTGAAATCTAAGTTTCTGTTTTTGTGTAGCAGTGAACATAATAACAAGTTTGACGGCTTAGTTGCTTCAAATGAGTTCATCAAATTCATCTGCTACGAGGCGCCCACATTGTCAAGTTTACTGCTATTGTCATCTTAAGTGTGTTTTATATACTTGCTACCGTGGACCCAATTATGGTAGGCAATTTTATAGATGCATGAATAATCGAACGAAAGACGATTGCGGGTACTTTAAATGGACAGACGACGTGGAAGAGACAACTTCTTGTGTACCTAATGAAGATGAAGGCTTTGAAGCTAGGATGTCTAAGAAGCAAGACTTGATCATCTTGTTGATGAAAGTCTTTATTGGTCTTTTTCTTGTTGACATTGCTTTCCGTATTTATTTAGTATATTGTTGCGTGTCGAAGTAGTCCAAATGATGTAGAAGTTTATTGTATGGTTGCTGTGTAGTTGAGCATGAATGTTTTGATGAAGTGTATTGCAGAATGAAATTTCACCTTGTTGTTCAAATTTTGATCACCTTGTTCATGCTTTACGTGCAAGTCAATTTGATTCAAGGTTCATTTGAACACATAATTGCTTCCAACTAAACTGGGAAGAATTAACTGGAATATTCCTGGATCGTGAACACACAATTGCTTCCAGCTTAAACCCGTGAACACAATTGCTTCCAGATAATGTACCGATGAACATATAATTGCTTCCAGGTAACCGATGAACACACAATTGCTTCAGGTTAAACCCGTGAACACATCAGAAATCAATTGCATCAACACAGCATAATTCAATTGCTTCAGGTAATGCATCGTGAACCATAGTTGCTTCCAGGTTATATGCGTGAACACACGGCATAATTCAATTTGAACACCGTGAACCCACCCACAGCAGATGCCAAGAAAATATGTAATTGTGATGTGGCAGTGAAGATTGCATAAGCCAAAAGATAACAACAGGTATAAGAACAAAACAACAAAATATGACAGTATATAAGAACAGCCAAAAATTACAAAATATGACAGTATAATATCTGCTTGGAACAGCCAAAAATTATATCCAAAAACAGCCAAAAATTATATCTTTGCGTGTTGGTAATTACATTTGATGCTCAAAACCCATCAACATGTAGGTACTCAAGCTCTACTACATCGTTGAAAGTCTCAGCAGTCCGTCTACTTTCCAACTTTCTACGTTTTAATAATGAGTTTTCGTGTTGTGTCATTGTATCATTGTTGATCTTCTGTAATGAGTTTTTGCATGTGCTCCGATGATGCCCCCAAAGTGAACATCTGCTACATTTATGCCACCGTCATACCTCTTTCTATGTTGCTCACTAGTTTGAACCCATTTCCCTCCATATTTAAAACAACATGAATATACTCTGTCTGCTTGGAACACATCTTCACTGTTTTGGGTACTCTTATCGTTGGATGCTTCTATATACTCTGTCTGCTAAAGCTCTCCATCTCTAGGAAAGAGAGAAATAACTCATCTTGTTAAAAAAATAAACCAAAAAAGTAAAAAAAAAAAAAAAAAAAAAAAAAAAAAAAAAAAAAAAAAAAAAAAAAAAACTTAGAGAACTATAATATGATTCAGTACCTTTTCATCCACACATCTAAAGTGGACGAACACACAGAACTTGTTGTTCTCCACGCCCCAGGAGTTGATTTGGTCGCTTCGAGCAAGGTTCTATAAACCTTTATAAGATAATCACACACATGTCTTTCAATACACAGTCTAATATCAGATCGGCAAAAGAAAATTAGCATAAAGAAATACAAAGAAAATCACAGAGAAAAGATAATGTACCTGAATCCAAAACCGGCCGCTCACATTTGCTGTTGGGAATCACACCGGCCAGGCAGAGGATCGCCACCAGCGATCACAAGCATCCGAGCAGAGGATCGCGACCAGCGATCGCAAGCAGCCGAGCAAAGGATCGCGATCAGCCGTACGCAAGCAGCGAGTAGAATGAAGAATACGCAAGCAATGACTAGAGGTAATTTCGATCGACTTTGTTTGCGAGCAGAGCAGAGCTATTTGCGAACTGGAAATTTCCGCGGGAAGAATACGCCGTGACGGAGGAGGTTACTAAGTGGTATAAGTGATATATAAAATGAGTTTTAGGTGGTATAATAGTAATATTAAATTTTTAGGTATTAGATATGTAAATGGTTATAAATATAGTGGTATGTATGTAAATTTCCCTTTTATTTATATTTATTATTATAGTTTTCAAATTTTGCCAACGGTCCGGAGCAAGAATTAATTTAATTGTGGTAATGAATATTTCTATTTTGGTCCAATTATGAAATTTTGGATTTTGGTAGTTTTGATGATTTTATTTATTTTAAAGATTTAATTTTTCGCTGTAGTTTTAATTATTTTTTGTTGCAATGTATTATTATAAATTCTATATTTAACATATAAAATAAAAAGAATTACTTAATTAGAAATGTAATAAGCTTTTAATGATTGAATTCTTGAACTCTTAGCTTAAGAAATTTGAAGATACAATTTTGAAGTTTATAAATTTTATATGAAAAATCATCAAGGTAGAAAAAAAGAAAGTGACATTGCCCAAAATGAACTATATAGAGGTTATTTATTGTGAGAATTTCAAATTCAAAACTACTTGAAATGTAATGCATTTAAATTCTAATGTATTGAATTTCTTAAAAATTTCTTTTGTGTTTGAATGAAATACATAAAATTAATTAAAAAAAAAACTAATAGCAATAAATTTGGAATTGATAGATCATGATGAAGCTTGTTGGGATGGAATCACGATAGGACTAATTAAGATCAACAATTTGTGCAAATAAATGATGGCAATGGGCAGAGTCGTGCGCACGGGCCATATTTTTCACAGTGTGTGTAAATATGTGTACAACTGTGTACATATATTGTGTACAAATGTGCACACACATTTATATGCACTATGTACAAATTTTCACAGTGCATGTACAAGGGAGTTCGGACGCAGCTCTGCATCCAAACTTCTCACAGAATAATTTCTCCTGAGTGAGATTGAAGACATATTTGCAATGTTGTTGCTAGAATGATAGCGAGTGCCCTTCATCCGAGCTTCATGCGAATGTGAATGTATTTGAAATTTATCCAAATGAATTTCAAATATATCAGAAATCAACCATGTGAAGTATTAAAAGCTCCTAAAAAAAATACCTTAAATTTGATTTTACCCTCAATCAAATGCTCAAAAGCTTAAAATTCATCCATTTAAAATACAATAAACTCAAAATCCCTCAAACCAAACAATCTCATAGTAACAAAGAAACATCAATAGGATAAATTTTCTTTCTCTTCATCACAAAAATTAGAGTAAAAACCTTCAGATTTCCAGATTAGTCCAAATTGCACCAGAAAATTATGATTTCAATATATCAATTTAAAAAAATGAAACGTTATGTTCAACGGCTAAATTATCACAAACTTTCAATCTGATGATACAGAGAAGAAGCAGAAATCAGTTTATGAGGACTATAATCAGCTTAGCGTTTGATAGCCCATAAGACATTGCAGGCCATCCTGTCTTGTTCCATCCTTCATCAGAAGGGCTGGCATCCATGGAAACCACTTGTTGATACTTCTCTTTATAGCAGCAGAACTTAATTGATTTTCATTAATTCCAAACTTTGCCCGTTCTATTGCCAACAAGAAGTCTTCTCTACATACCACTTCACCACCTGCAACAGAACATTAGTTATTTAGATTAACTTTGTTTGCCTTGTTCACTATCAATTTCTGGTTTTTAGATTATATAAACAAGTAAGCCAAAACGGAATTTTATTTCGATCGAGCTCCTTCACAATTATTACAAAATGAATAGAGTTGGGAAAGTCATATGTTTGAAAAATTGTTCTATGCGGACACCGAACGTCGTCCGGAAAACAACCAAAATGCGCCATGTCACCCCTTCGTTAGGTACCGCAGCTCGGTACTACGGCTCAGTATAGCTGACGTGGTTGCACCTGATTTGTCTCCAGACATAGAGCTATGTCCGGCCACCGCACAGAATAATTTCTCCATATGTTTAGTCCATAGCCTAAACAACGAAAGCTGAACAGTCACATTCTCCGTCTTCGTTTGGGACGGCTTTTTTACTGCTTCAAAAATTTGTAAAAAAGCCGTCCCAAATGAACAAGAAAAACCAAACTCATAGAGGTATACAACATGGCGCCTAATCGTTTCATCACTATCTGACCACTCAGAATGATGCAAACAGTATAAAAAACTTCCTCTCGCTGTATGCCAACAATAAAGTGATGTAGTGACTTGTGAGGTTACCAGACAAAGATTTCAATGGCCTGAACTATTCACTAGTATTCGTGAAATCTAAGCAATCAAATGTAGTACAAGCAGCTTGGTACAGCTCCAGTAAAAAATGTAAACTATACCTTTTAGACTTTGAACTTACAACCAATACAGTTGAGAGAAAGTTACTCACCTCTTCTAGCAGCGAGCAAAGCAGCTTCATTTACAATATTGGCTAGATCAGCACCAACAAAGCCTGAGGTAAGAGATGCAACAAGATTGCATATCATCAGAGGCTCTTCTTCTAAAGGAACCACTCTTAGGTGCACAACCAATATCTTCTTCCTTCCAGATCAGGCTCTCCAACAATCACCTTCCTTGAGAAACGACCAGGTCGACATAAAGCTGGATCTAGAGCTTCAGGCCTATTGGTTGCAGCAATAACAATCACTTTCATGTTTGACTCAAAACCATCCATTTTTGTAAGCAACTGCCAGACATGAATAAATCAAGTTAGCCAAAGAAAATATTTTTTTCTCCATATATTGCTCCTTTAAAGGAATTATACGCCCCGGCGCTCCGACGCGCTCGCGCGCTTCGCCCGCGCTCGCGCGGTCGCCCCGCGCGCTTCGGCCGCAATCCGTTCCGTGTCGGGTCAACCCGACAACCCGCCGGGTCGGGTTCGGGTTCGGGTTCGGATTTTCGACCCGTTTGCCTAACCGGGTCGGGTTAGGGTCAACCCGTTTGAACCCGGGTCAATTCCGGGTCCGTCCCGAACCCGACCCGTGACCCGAAATTGACACCCGTACGTACCAGCAAGGTCTTTCCAATCCCTGGAGTACCTACCAGTAGGACACCTCTCAGTAACCTTGCTCCTAACTTGCTGTAATTCAAGGATCCTTATAAGCAGGAAACTATCTACAAAAAACAATTTTCCTTGGCTAAAAATTAAAAGAATGAGAAAATTGAAATCATAGAAATCAGATATATCATTCAGTTACTCTCTACTGTGGGGAAAGAATTATCAACAGGCTGCATTTAATACATATTGTTATGGAACTTTGGTTCATGAACCGTATATATTACAAATTCAGAACATAATCATCATCATCCCAACTTTTTTGGATAAGCTTTATGAATCCCCATTCTCCATTTACCCCTGCTAGTGTTGCCTGAAGTGTTATCTTTTTGCACAACATTTATGCAAGTTACCATCAACCTATCCAAGTTCTTCGTAATCCCATGACACCAATTTTTATGTTGCGACCTTGTTGGTGTATCTTCAATCTTTCATTGTACCTATCCAAATCATTAAAGAATATCTTTCATTATCTTATCTTCAATAGATGTTACTCCTTTAATATAATCAACTATCATTTTTCAATCCTAATCTTTTTCACATCCATTTCAATATTCTTATTCTTGTCACCCTGAATGTCTATAATTGATTTTGTTGCTTGCCAACACTAATTAATATAATCTACAACAACAACAAGCCTTCAACCCGCCACGTGGGGTCGACTATATGAATCATATTTCTTCATTGTGCCCAGCTAGAAGTCGAATTCTCATTTAAATCTAACTAAAAAGGTCATTATAAATACATTCTAATGTGGGCTCTGAAAATTAGGCCCCGGCCTCCGCCCGCTGTGTTTTTTTTTTCTTTCCGCGAGGGAGTTTTAATGAATTAAGTTCTAGGATAAATTTTGGAAGGCAGATGTGTTTGTAGATAAGACACTACCCAAATATTTCGCCCTCATTTTGCAAGGACTTTATGATCTGAGTTTTGGTTT